GAAGAGATTTTCAAAAAAATCAACCCCCAAATGTTTGAAGAATGTTTAGAAAGATTAGCATCTAAAGTTCTGAAAAGATTTTAGAAAAAATAGCCTCCAAAATTATGAAGAGATTTTAGAAAAATTAACCCTCAATGTTTTTGAAGAAATTTTAGAAAGATTAGCTTTCAAAATTCTAAAGAAATTTTAGAGAGATTCTGGAAGGAGGTTAAGTTTTTTAGGAAGCAAGGTTGAATTTGCGAGATCCAATTCCCAAAGTAGTGTTGTTTTAGGAGCGAGGTCAAGATGATATATAGGAGGCTTTTAGGGGCGGTATTAAAACAACAGGGTGATGGAGTGAGGCATGAGGCATGGTTACAGAGCAAGATCATGAGGCAATAACGTAGTGAGGTCATGATGTTGACTTTACAAATTTGAATTCTTTTGTGATCGAGCTAAACAGATTTGTTTTACGTATTCAAGATTTTGTAGGTCTTGACGGCACTCCCTAAATTTGATCTATTTGCAAGCCCTATGATTCGTGTTTTTTTTTTTTTTTCTTCTGAAATGAGTTTGTCGCATGATAGAATGAAGTTTGGGTTTGATTTCATCATTTATTACTGCTTTACTTGAAACCATCCACTAAGGGGATTAGTAGAGTCAACCCCTAGGGTTTTGAAAGAGAACAACCCCCAAAGATGAGATCAAATCAGCCCCCCACAAGATTGTCCCCCACAACGTCCCTACAGTACATCCTCGCCATGTATTGGAAACATTTCCCGATGATGATATCAGAAATGATGATGTCATCATCAGGAGATATTCCCAATACACGTTGGGGATGTACTGTAGGACGTTGTGGGGGGCTGATTTTACTCCCAAGGGATTAATAGCCAATAACTACAAAAATATGATATCGATATAAGTGTCTTGAATATGTGAGGCATATATTATCATAAGCATGAGCAGAAGTGATTTTGTGTGTAGGGCAAGTAATTTTGAGCAAATCCTTAAGCTCAGTTTGGAAGGAGTACAAATACAAATATATGCAAAATAATATAAAATACAAGGTTTTGCACTCTACAAATTTGTATTTGTATTCCTTCCAAATTGAGCCTTACGGAACTTAAGCGTGTGGCATGAATTTGATTTTGCAAAGTTAGCACTTAAAACGTGGATATATGTGTTAGACAGTTGTATGCCCTTAGCTCCAATCGGAATGATGTATATTATGAATTTATTGTAAATGAATAAAGTGCACATTTGATTCATGTTCCTGTGGTGTGTTTCTGTGTAATTCCCTTAAACTAGATACTTATGGGACTCGTGTTAGTTTAGAATGTTCACATCCGTTGGATAAGTCTAGGGAGATTTATCCTGTCAAGGCTTACACTGGTGTGCTGCCAAATGTTGGGGTGGCTTGTCTCAGCCGCCAGGGTGAGATCCAAGGCATATGCAGTGTAGGATTAATTGAATCTTTGAACCAGACCAGATTTCTAGTATTGCCTTGGACTTTGGAGATTGATGGGCAAAACTGGAAAGTTACACCTGACCCCTAGACTCGATTATGATATTACACTAGGTGTCAGATTGGACTGTCTTTGATATGTCAATTAGTGAGATCCTTAGCAGGGGTCAAAACCTGGGTATGTTGRGACAGTCTGAGAATTCATCTGAGTGGGTGATCATAGTGACAGGATCAGCCCCTTTGTCGGACAAAGGTAATGATCGGGGATGCACTCTCTCTGATGGAAAC